GGGGGCAAATGCACTTTCAGTTGCAAGCCACCTACCCAATCAATTCTAGTCACTATAATATCTAGGCACACAATTAGCTATGTCACTGCTTGCTACTCTAGGTGAACAAGGCTAGCAAGAAAAACTACACTAACAGTTTACACAAGAGAGCAAAATACTCTACTTTGTAGAAAAGAAAATGAGAGGTCAAGATTATTATACCGCCGCGTAGGGGATGAACCAATCACCAAGATGATAACCAATCAATACACCGGGAGAATACCAAATGGCAAGAGACACAAGTATTTTTCTCCCGAGGTTCATGTGCTTGCCGGCACGCTACGTCCCCGTTGTGTCGACCAACACTTGGTGGTTCAGCGGTTAAGAGGTGTAGCACGAACCTTGTCCAAACCATGGACACCGCAAGAACCTACCCACAAGTGAGGTAACTCAATAACATGCGCAATCCACTAGAGTTGCCTTTGGTGCTCCGCCGGAGAAGGCACAAGAACCCCTCACAAATCACGGGGAGATGGCCAAGAACAATCACCAACTCTTGCCACAACTCTTCCTCTGCACCAAGCCGTCTAGATGGCGGCAACCACCAAGAGTAACAAGAATACCATAGCTCAAACGATCTTCAAGTGCCACTAGATGCAATCACTCAAGCAAATGCACTTGGAATCACTCAATCTCACTTTGCATTAGTAATCAAGCAAGAGAGATGAGTGGGATGGAGTATGCTCAGCTCAAGAGGATGTCAAGATGATAAAAAATGCCAAGAGAGTTCCCCAAGAGCCGGCCACCAACTATTTATAAGCGTCCCCAAAGAATATAGCCGTTAGGCTCAACAATGTGCCTGTCTTAGGGCGACCGGACGCACGGGTCGGGTTGACCGGACATAGCCCTAGCGTCCGGTCGCTACGAGCCAAGCCTGCAGATGGGCGCCACGTGTCCCTATTCAGATTTCAAGCGTCGATCTTCAACGGTCGCGAAGCTAGTCAACTGCACGGTCAAAGCGTTGACCAGACGCTCAGGTCCATCCACCGGACTCAGCTCCACGTGGCGTCCGATCGATTCACCGGGCTCTCCGGCCCCGGATCCGCCGGATCCACCTCGTCCCCGGCCTACTGAAAGCTCTAGTTTGGTTTTGGTGAATTGATGAAACCCTAAGTGCTAACATAGTTTATCAAGTGATCATGATATAGGTAGCACACTCCAAGTGGTGAAGCAAATGAAGATCATAACATGATGATGGTGATGCCATGGTGATGATCAAGTGCTCGGACTTGGAAAGAAGAAAGAGAAAAACAAAAGGCTCAAGACAAAGGTATAAATTGTAGGAGCCATTTTATTTTGGTGATCAAGACACTTAGTGAGTGTGATCACATTTAGGATCGATAGTCGTACTATTAAGAGGGGTGAAACTCGTATCGAAATGCGGTTATCAAAGTGCCACTAGATGCTCTAACTCATTGCATATACATTTAGGATCTAGTGGAGTTGTTTGTGAAAATATGCTAACACATGTGCACAAGGTGACACACTTGGTGGTTGGCACATTTGATCAAGGGTAGTGAAGTTTGGGTGCAAGGGTAAGAAACTCCACCGGTGCCCTAGACAGAAAAGACGGAGGTCACTGGAAGTGACCAGACGCTGGCCTCGGTTGCACCGGCGCGTCTGGTCAGGTGTAACAGCGAAGACGCTGGCATCGGTCAATCGATCGGACGCTGGGTCGCTCTACGATCGGACGCTGGCAGGGTGTGTCCGGTCAGTGCTGACATACGCTGATGTGAGGCGTACAGAGGAGACGATGAGTGACTAGACACTGGGTGAGTCCAGTAGTGCATGACCGGACGCGTCCGGTCGTGAAAATTCGTGTTTGGAACCTTACAGGAAATGACCGGACGCTGGTGGCTTAGAGTCCGGTCAGTTTGTGCATAGTGTCCGGTCAACAAGATGACCGTTGAAATCTGACGAATTGTATTTGAAGTGGGGACACGTGGTGTGTATCACATGACCGGACACTGAGGGCCAGCGTCCGGTCGATCGGACCGGAGCGTCCGGTCACCCCGTGTTCAGCCCAGTGAAGGGGTACAACGGCTCTATTTCATGGGGGCCTCTATTTAAGCCCCATGGCCGGCTCAAGCTCACTCTCTTGGCCATTTCCATTGCCATAGCAACCTTGCGAGCTTAGCCAAAGCCCTCCCACTCATCTCCATCATTGATTCATCATCTTTGTGAGATTGGGAGAGAATCCAAGTGCATTGCTTGAGTGTTTGCATCTAGAGGCAATTGGTGTTCGTGTTTCGCTGCGGGGTTCACTTGTTACTCTTGGTGGTTGCCGCCACCTAGATGGCTTGGAACAGCGAGGATCGTCGAGCGGAGGGTGGTGATTGTCTCCGGCTCCGATCGTAGTGATTGTAAGGGGTTCTTGACCTTTCCCTGGTGGAGAGCCAAAAGGTACTCTAGTGGATTGCTCGTGGCTTGTGTGATCCTCATCTTGTGTTGGTTGTGCGGCACCCTATCGAGGGTTTGGCGTGTGATGCCAATTAGCGCGTGAACCTCCAAGTGAGTGAATCGCCACAACGAGGAGTAGCTTGCCGGCAAGCAAGTGAACCTCGGTAAAAAATCATTGTGTTCATCATTTGATTCCGAGGTGATTGGTCTTCGTTGTTATTCATTCTTGTGATTGATTGGCTCATTCATCTACACGGCGGTATAACTTTCTTGATCACTCTCTTTACATTACCGCAAACTAGTTGTCAAGCTCTTTAGTGTAGCTAGTTGTGAGAGCTTGTTTGGTTGGTTGGTGTGGCTCTTTAGTTAGCCTTTGAGAGCACACTAACATAGGGTAGTGTCATAGCTATTGTGTGAATAGATTCTCCTTAAACTAGAATTGTGGTAGGTGACTTGTATTTTGAGTAGGCTAGCGCAACACTTGCTTCGCGTCATAATTGTCTAACTCTTTTGTTAAGTGTTGTTGTAGAAATTTTTATTAGGCTATTCACCCCCCCCCCCTCTAGCCATTAGGACCTTTCACCTACTCCTAGTGTTGGTCGCCGTGGGGCAGGCGCCGCCGCTCGGCTGGTGGAGCGCACGCAGCCCCGGCTGGTGGGCGGCGCGCGGCCGCAACCTCCAGTCGGCAACGCGGCTCGACAGTAGGCGGCCTCCCCCGTAGGCAGCCCAACGCGGCCAGCATCTCCAGCGAGCACGAGCAGCCCGGCGCGGCTAGCCCATCCCGCGACGCCGCACCAGGCGGCCCCTGCGGTGGCCAGCCCAGCGCGTCCGCCACCTCCAGCGATAGATATCGAGCCTAACTCTACGGTCTCCGGTCGCTCGAACTCGTCTCGCCCCTAGAACGGCGGCGGCGGTAAGCGCATCCATGGAGGCTACAAAATCGATTGGCTGCAGCAGGAGCGAGTTCGTCCAGGGATGAGGCCGTATCAGGGGCCTCGTCGGGATGGCGAGCCTAGCCAGTGGCGGTGAGCCTGTGTACTGTGCAGCAGGGGAGGCCCTGCGTGGATCGCAAGTGTGACCGCGCGTCCTAATCGGAGTAGCAAGGCGGGGTGAGCTTGCATCAGCGGCAACCCGCAGGCTTAGTGGTGTTTGGTTCCACCTCCTAAACTTTAGTCGCCGTCCCATCGAATTTTTGGACATATGCATGGAGTATTAAATATAGACTATTTACGAAACTAAATGCATAGATTGAGACTATTTTACGAGACGGTTTTTTTAAGCCTAATTAGTCTATGATTTGACAATGTGGTGCTACAGTAAACATGTGCTGATGACATATTAATTAGGCTTAATAAATTCGTCTCGTGGATTACTGACGGATTCTGTAATTTATTTTTTATTAGTATCCGAACACCCCATGCGATACCCTCATGTGACACCTCCTAAACTTTAGCCACTGGATCAGAACACCCCCTTATTGCGATGCGTTCTTTGCGGTGTTAGCTCCTCGACACTTGTTCTTCTCCCTGCTTGTATCCATTTATTTTCGATTTTCTGATTTGCTAGTATGATTTGTTAATTGGTTTGGTGGTGATGTGTTTGATTAGAGTCAATTTCATGATCTTGTATTGGATTTGAGAATAATGATGTTTTTTAACAAGATTGTATTTACTGATTTTTTTGATATGAATAAAAGTTCAGTTCAACATGACTTCAGATCACAATGTATTTGTATCTTGATTCCCTATAATTTCAATACATGGAGCATTAGCCCAAATTCATGGAGGATCAAATTTGCAGGACTCTTTGAAACTGTATTTTATTTTTCTAAATGCACAAGAGGCAAATAAAACTCTACACCTCATTATTTCGCCAGGGGTAAAATGGTTATTTTACTCTTGATTTAACACCGTCAAGTAAAAAACACGGACGGAAAGCTGTAACAAAGAAAATTTCGTTTCAGGGCCATACGGTTAAGTTAAAAGAAAAAGTCATACGAGCATTTTTTTCCTAAGTCCGTACCGGTAAAAAGCTCGTTAAACAATCATCGTCCTGGCGACCCTGCTGTACATTATGGCGTTTCATGAGCATGCGAAACATGTCTTACTGCCAGGAAGGACAAATTTATTTACTTTTAACCCCTTTGCGATCCATGGTTGTAAGTAGAATGCTAATCCGGCTGTTATACGGAGTTACATTCTTTGACATTGAACAAATGAACAACCCAACCGGCAGCTAATAAGGTAAACATTGGCAAGCAAAACACTGTAGAAATTTGGTACATTGATCCACCCCAGATGGATTTTACTGCTACGGATTTTTACACAAGAACAGAGTCACCGCAAGCCCATCAACACATCATCGTCACAAAGATTAGGAGTACGTACTACCAACAAACAAACAGCATAGCACATCGACCAGGACCTAGCTAGGTAGCTACAGCCTACATCTACGACGACGGGTCGGATCATACAAAACGTGGCGCCAGTGGTGCGCCCATGAACTCACTCAGGCTGCTTTCGGCCGGGGAACACGCTGACGCTGCCACCCCCAAGCCGGAGTCACGGGCACTTGGTCCTGTTGCCGTGCGTGGTCCAGTCGGTGTAGCACTTGCCGCACGTCTGCTGGTTGCCGGCCGTGCCCGCCGGCACGCAGCGGCAGACGCTGCAGCACTTGAGGCACGCCCGGGTGCACCGGTTCTTGCGCGACTGCGCGCCGCACCGCACGTCGCACGCGCCCCCGCAGTCTGCATCCGCCCCGCCGGCCGCCGCAGCACCGAGGAAAATTTTTGCAGAGGGTCAGGCGACGCGAGAGAGCAAACAAAGATCATGACACAGAACAGAGGCTGACCTTTGGCGGGGTCGACGATCTGGTGCGGCGGAGGGCCGAGCGGAGGAGCCGGCGGGTAGCCGCCCGGAGCAGCCTGGTCGAAGTCGAACAGGCCAAGCGCCCAAGCCCAGAGGGTTTCAGTTTCAGAGAGAAATCAGGCGGCGGGAGGACAAGAATGGACTACTAATCGATTTCACCACGGACGCATGCATGATTGATTACCTTGGTGTTGCTGTTGGTGAGGAGGAGGAGGAGAGACGCTACCAAGGCGATGACCACCGCGAGCTTGCTGGGAGTCATTGGTGTGGTGCCTCTGGACTCTGGACTGGATGGAGGTTTCTCGAGAGCTGTGGAGAGGCTGGGGCCTCCTCTTCTTGTGTGGTGAACTGGCGAAGGCGAAAGCTGGCCAGGGTTAAATAGCCAGAGTGAAGCTGTGCCTGTGGCCTGTGGGTGAAGAAGTGTGCTGGCGCTGCCGCTGTAGTCTGGGGAGCGATGGTCTGATCTGAATGTCTGATGAGCGCGTTTAGTTTTGTGTGCGATCCTGGGCGCGGTCAATGCGCCAGGTTGGCGCCGGGGCAGCGCGCGCGCCGCGCCCAGGCCGCCCAGAGCGGAGTGAGCAGGTGGCCTGCACTGCACTTTACGGCTCTGCGCTGCCTCGCCCAATCGCCATACTCGGCATCTGTTAAGCGGAGTAAATGGGTTTTGTCCGTCTGACAAGGCGCCACAATTGTATCACTGATTAGTGATTACGTAGAGCTGCAGTGTCATGAAAAGAATTTATTATACTCTAAAACAAAGACCCAGCAAAACTTCTCTCACGACTGATATTTTCTACACAAATTGCAGGAACCCATTTCTCCCATGGCTGCGCGCGAGCGACGGCGGCGGCGGCGGCGGCTTCAATTCGTTGCGGCGCCTGCCTGCTGCCTCTCCCCATTGTGCCTGCCCTTAACGTTGATGCTAGACCTGTTTGGGACATCGAATGCAAGGTGTACCAGTAGTAGTTCGGACGGTTCAACCTGTGCACCGCGCAGGATCTCTGCACACGCACGGTGGCGCGGTGTTGTGCTCGACGCAAGGGCGGGGCGGGAGCAGGGGTGGGGCGTGGGGCTGTGCAGGGCTGCAGGCGCTGAGCTGCGTTCCACCGAGGGCCGGGAGCATGTGCGGGCGTGCGCTGCCCTGCCCTGCTGCGTCGTGTGGTGTGGGCGAGCTGCCCGTGCCTGCCACTGCCACTGCCACGGAGTACGAGCTGCCTACGACGCATTCCTGTGGGGAGGCGTCACGCACTCACGCGTCGCTAGGCCTTGTCGGATCCGGCCAGGGCAAAGCGCAAACGGGTACAGTACCCCACACCACAGCCCGTCAGCCCAGTGGGCCTGTGGAAGGAGGGAATCTTAGGGGCCAGAGACGGGCCCAGTGTCAGTTGAGCCTGTCGTTTGTGCTGTTTCGCGCGTGCGTCGTCATCCAGAGCGAGTACAGCGAGAGAACGCGTGAGTTGGGCCGGTTTTGCTTATGGGCCCATATTTTTTAATTTAGTGTTATGGGCCAATGCGGTTTGTATATTCTCAAGAGATATTTGCCGGTGAATATATGAATATACTAATATTTATGATATGTAATGAGTTTGGCTATGGAATATACGTTCACAGTAAAGTTATTTATAAATACGAATTTTAATATTATTTTCTTTATACTTAGTCAAACTTTAAAAGAGTGACTTCTCGATAAGTGAGATATGCATTTATTTTAGGACGGAGAGTAGCATGCTACCATATGCATGAAAAAAATTCGATCCTATTCAGAAACAGAGAGCCACGTTTGAAACTTTGTAGTTCGGGAAAGCATGGCAACATTCAAGAAATAAATGTTAGTACCTTCAACTTCAAGAAATAAGCGTCACAATTCACAACAGAACATAGAGCACGCCATAGTTTCGTCGAAAGCAATTAGTGTAAAATCTGTCTACTCTACACTCCGATGTACTCTCAGCTTTGACTTAGAGAAACTCCAGCTGAGACAGCGTCTGACTGATTTCACTGTTGCTGAGAAAATTCAGATTGAAAACATGAAGGCATAACATGACTATAAAACGTCACATACTTTGATTAACGATTCGTAGTGACCCACCGTTTACCATCATAACCATTGAACTTGGTGAAGCACCCCGCTCCCTTGATTCCTAGGAGAAAAAAAAAAGGACCAACAATACCACGAAAAAAGAAAATAATGAAGAAAATGCACATTTGTCTATGCAAGCATTGCTTGCCCTCATGGAACTTGGAGCTCCAGGGGCATCAATGGCGCCCAGTCCCAGCAAACTTGCAATGACTTCTTTATCACGAACAAAGAAAACAAATGAAGAAATGCACATCTGTCTAGAGTCATCAATGGCTCCAGCAAGCTATAGAATTTATATGATGAAGATGGTGGCTTCTTTACCATTAGCTTAGGGCCGCCTTACCCATGGCCATGGCTAAGGAAAGCGTAGCACCTTCCGGATCTCCATGGCCGAAACCACACCAGAAGACCTACCCATGTATTTCCTGGTGGAAGAACAGTAGCACTAGCAGTGATGGTCACCACAGTGTTATTCATCCTTCTTCTTCCTACACATCATCCTGCGGCTTTTTACCGCTCTCCTATGCCAACTAATATCTCTCCTCTGGAGATGAAGACTGGTACGCCTCTACTAACTAGCATAAATTTATCTGCTCTTTCATCATGCATCATTGCTACAAGTGTTACATTCTTAGCTAGCCAGATTTCTAGAGTACTTGAGCTCCAAGTGAGACTTCCTTTTTTCCCGAAATATACCGGTTCTTTTTTTCCATTTCGAATATAAAATTAGCTGCAGCCTGCAGCATAGGATAAGATCGATGCTCTAAAGCAAGTCAAGTTTGGTTTCCATCAAAAGCGTAGTCAGCAAGTTTAGCAAGCCTGCGATTTGAAAAGCGTATCAAACCCACCTGTCTCTGCATATTCAAATGACCTCTTCAGCTTTCGGATAATCTGTATATAGTGGATCTTATAATGGTCTGCATGCCAGATTAGTTAATGAAAATGAGGAGAGTGCCAAAAAGAACATTTCAAAACCTTATAAAAACATAAGTAAAAACAAAAATAAACAAAGAAAAAGAGACCCTTTGCCTCCGAAAATTTGAATGCATCTCGATACAATTCAACAGTCACTTATCAGTAAACAAAGATTGGCGACCGCTAACATTTCCTAATAGTTTCAAAAGAGCTGTACCCAAGAAATATCATAGGATTTTGATCTTTTCTATAGGTCATGAAGACAAAGCCTGCAATCCTTTCAACAGCACATGGGTCAGAGATTTCAGAGGTCCACTTTACACGAACATAACATGCCCTACAATGCCAGAGTCAAGAAACTGTGGGAAGTACGGGAAGCAAATGGATTATGTTAACTGGAAGTGGATGCCACATGGTTGTGACATGGTAAGGTTTGAACCTCAGCTGTTTTTGAATATTGTCCGAGGGAAGACACTGGCGTTCGCTGCAGATTCAATTGGACAGAACCAGATGGAATCATGTCGGTGTTCGAAATCACCGGCTAGTAAATTTCTATTATTGCGCGTTTAGGCTTGGATGGTGTGCAAAGAGGACACGAAGATGTATACTAGTTCGGGCTGAATGTCCCTACGTCCAGTGCAATTGGGTCTGTAGTAGGGGTTACAAACGGTCGAGAGAGGGATGAGTTCCCAGGTCTCTGGTGAACGTGAAGTGGAGTTGAAGTACCTTTCGTTGGTCGAAAAAAGGATCCCCTAATGGGGCCGGAAAAAATCCTCCTTCGGCAGGATGCCCGGTCCTCCATTTTATAGGCCAAGGGAGGGCCATACGTACATGAGAGAGAGAGAGAGAGAAAACCGAGAGAACCCTTCCTGGGTGCCGCGCCGTCTTCCCCCTTTAGTAGGGGTGCCCTGGCATTGTAGATGTTGATGGAGACGTCTCCACGTTGCGATGTCGATGGCGATGGAGACGGCTCCACGTCGTGGGTCTGTTGCTTCTTTGGCGCCATGCTCGGGTCTCTCAATGGTCATGACACCCGTTTCGCCGATGCGTTGTTGGCGCCTGTGAGCGGCGTGGGCCCCCGGAATGGCTTGTCGTGGTTGCAGGTCGTGTCGAGGCGTGCCCACTCCTATCCGGTGTCAGAAGTTTGACTCTGGTCTCGAGCTTTTATGTTCGTGGTAGTAAAGGAGGCGCGGGCCTCTGTGGGATTCGCACCCTCGCCCAAGGGCGATCGTCAAGGCGTCCCTCGGTAGGGCGGAGCGGACTCCCTCCTCCTTGGGGGCGAGGCGCTGCCCGCCTCCCGAGGGGTCGGGCGAGACGTGGCCCGCTCTTTAGGGGTTTGACGGACGTGGCCGCGCCGCCTGTGGGTCGGGCGAGCGGAATCTACCCCCAGGGTTTGAGGCGGCCACGGTCATATCCTCCGACCGTCTGCTCGATTTTTGACCGCTGGGGCCCGTGTGTTCCCCTTCTTTGGGTACCCTAAAAATGGTACCCGACAAATCACTACTTTGCTTACTGTCTCAGGTGAGCAACCTGTGTTTTAGCTCTGTGAGATACTAATGACATGTAGCGATATACCCTTAATCACCAGTGATGATTGGCATAGTATAGAGTAGACCCAGTGTTCTAGAAAGTTTCCCATGCTGAATTTCTTTGCATCACTAAGGATATGAGCACAAGTCAATTTGGATTAATATTCAGTTATATCATGTCAATTAGGTGATATCCTAATGTTGTCTGATCTTTACATAGCCAGATTCATATGGTCGAGTGATCTAGAGGCTGTAGGCCAAAGTGGCTCAAGGCTTAACTTCCATGGTGTCATGGAATCAGGCTAGGAACAATAATAAGCTAGCTTACCTTACAGCAATAGAACAGTGATTATCAGTTCTTCTATATCTGATAATTTCAATTTTTGTGAGTTAAATAATAGCTGACATCATAATTTATGTTAAAATATACATCATTATTTTGATAGGTTAGGACATCTAATAATAAATTAACATAATAAATAAAAACTGTATGAAACATAACAATGAAAAATCCATAGTGTATTTTTAACACAAATTATGATGTCCGCTTATAACCTCACAAAAATTGAAATTCAAAAGCCAAATTGTACGTGGAGAAAAAAATCTTGTTAAAGAGTAAATTGGACCTAATGAAATAGTTGGGGAGTAAATTGAACCAAATATTAGTCTAAGGGGTTATCTAGACATAGGCCAAACTTAGGGGAGTAATTTGGACCTTTTCTAAATATGAAAATATGAAATGAGTTATCATTGCAATTCTACTTTATTTAACTTTGCACCTCTAATAAACTTTTTCTCCTGTTGGTGTGAAATTGTGACATGATAACCTGACACAAACCCTACAAAATGTTGCAGGTGGAAACTCCAACCAAAGTTTATAGTGACACTAAAGATAAATTTGTCCCTTGGCACTTTAGATCCCACAATTTTACACTCATGGCACTGTGGACCAAATTTCTAGTAGAAGCATCAGAAAGAGAGATCAATGGCACAGTAGTTGAAATGCATTACATACACCTGGACAAACTTGATGCAAGATTAGCTGCAAACTTGCCTGAGATCAATATCTTAGTCATATCAAGTTCGATGGTTCTTCAGGAAAAATTATCTCTATGAAGGTGGGAAACTCACTGGATGCATATACTGCTCAGAGGATAACATCACAAGCTTCGATGTCACTACAGCTATTCAGAGGGCACTTAGGAATGCCCTCAATAACTTGAGCAACACTCCAAGAATGTGGATTGCAGTTAACATTAGTAAGAACAGCAACACCAGCACATTTTGAAAATGGCTTCTGAAATACTGGAGAATATTGCAATAGAACTGAACCGGTGGGAGGAGGAGAAGCAATGACAAGAACAGTAGAATGGGCAATAAGAAATGTGCAGGTTGAGGAAGAAGCAGAGCACAGAACTAAAAAACAGACACAGGAGACGGATGAATATAGAGATTTTAGATATAACCAAAGCTATGTCCATGAGACCTGATGCACATCCAGGGATCCATTGGAATAACAAGTGGATGAGGGGTTATAGTGACTGTTCCCATTGGTGTTTGCCAGGACCAATAGATATGTGGAATGAGCTATTACTTTCTGTGCTTAAGAAATATGAGTAAGACTTGCAAAATCAATGATGCAAAAACAATGAAAAGATGCATTGGCTGGTCAAATTAGTTTAAGGTTTTCCTAATTCAAGGTCCCAAAAGGTTTCCTATGTTAACATCAACACCACACTATTATCCTGATTAGGTCTGCAATTGGAAGGATGCGGCAAATGCAAACCATGTTAGATACTTGCACTGCATGACAATATTCGTTGCTTGGATGAACACAAGGCCACAAGGGCAACCTATTTGGATGGTCTCACTGGCAGATTTACAATCGATGGTACGCAACCGTAGGTAGAAATGGCCTATATTACCGCTGGTTCCCTAGTCGACTCTGGAAACACATTTGCACCACAGGTTCTAGAGAGATAAAAAACTACCAGTACCATCCTTATATGTATTGTGGGACGTGGGTTCTCATAGAACTCTAGCAATACAAAGTTCATTTCCGTTGTTGGTTGTCGCATAACTCCAACGGTATAAATGCCATTTGCATCAACAGTTCTATTTGACCGACAGTCTAAATTCAGTTTTGTACCATCATTTTTATCCAGCAGCCGACATTAATAAGCGGGCCCCAACACAATTTGATGTAATTTTCTATACATTTTGGTTCAAATTTGAATGATATTAGATTCAATTCACATACAACAGAATCAACAGAAAATTCATCCAATTCACACATAAAACAGCAACATAAGTTAAATCATAAACATCCAATTAATGAGTTGCATGTGGAAGCAGAATCCATTTCTGATTACTGGCCTTATGGGTTAAAAGCACTATCAACTCATTTTTAAAACATCTTGCGATGGCCAATTAACAATTATGAATGGCAGTTGATTTCATCACAAGCTATACAATAGTGGAAATGTGTGGTAAACAGAATTACAGAACCCCTTTATACACAAAAAATCAACCTTATGTGTACCTGTCAGTCAAATATTATCATCGAAGTTTTTTGTTGAAGTTTCACTGACAACAGAAGCTTGGGGTAATTCCTTGCTCATCAAGTACTTCCGCTTTTGAAGGCTCAGCCAGACCAAAATACTGTCAGTCTGGACAATAATATATCCAGCTTTCCTGTACATGTGGAATGGGACTTGGTCAATTATTCTACAATGAAGATACACACGTCTTCTGGCATTCATCTTGAAAATCAGATCCTCGCATGCCTTAAGAAGTTGCTTTCCAATTCCTCTCCTGTTAGTTCAAAAGCAAGGCAAATTTGAAGCATTACAATCGACATATTTTAAACATAATATAATGAATAAAGGATTCTTCCCACTACATCTTACAACTTACAAGGATGCAACATTTGCTATTTTGCAATCAACTCTTGCATCAAACTTGTTTTCCACAAGAAATAGTCAAAGTGGTTGCTCGACCCAGAGCATACCCATTACCTTCTCAGTGGCGTTTTCACAGTCATGTTGCAGATGTAGGGAAGTCGAGCGGCGGAGTGGGCGTGGGCGGGGCCCCGGGCGCGCCCACCGCGTCAAACGACACCTCCGCGGTGCACGCCATCTCCCTTCATCTTCACCTCCCTTCGCCGCCCTCATCATCCCGGTCGCCCTCCGTTGCGGCGCCGTCGTCGTCGGCGTCGGCGGGCGGTAGAACCCCACGAGCACCGCGGAGTGCGGCGCGAGCCCGCGGCGGTCGTGGAGGTACCTGCGGATGACGAACGTGAGGAGCTGCGCGTACCGATGCGCCGGGGCCCACCGCACGGTCTCGGAGAAGGAGGAGGCGAGGAGGCGGACGAGCGCCTCGGCCACGGCGTCGTCGTCGGGCCCGCGCCTGAGGACGCGCACGGTGAGGAGGCCGTGCGGGAAGGAGTGCTCGTAGCGGAAGGCCGCGAGCTCGTCGAGCTGCGAGAGAGCGCGCGGCGACAGGAAGACGCCGGGGCCACCAGGGCCGGTTCCGCCCGGGGAGGAGGGGGTGGCGGCTAGAGGGGCGAGGCGGACGTGGCGCGGCGGGGGGCAAGGAGAGAAGAGGAGGTGGGGGTGCCTGGAGACGGCGGGAGTCAGCGAGAGGAGGGCGGGCGACGCCGCCATGGGAGATGCGGATGCCGAAATGGGGAAACCGGGAATTCGAGCGGCGACTTTTTTTTATAAAAACCGGCTTACGTGGATAACCGTCAACTATATGTGTGACTGACCTCTGTGTTACGTATCGCTACTCCGCTAGAGTTGGCGATGATTTTTTTTTCACAAGAGAGTTGGCCATGATGTTGACAAATTTATGTCACCGATCTCATATGAACACCAAGACTGCAAGCCTGCAAGGATGATTGATTTGGTTGACGTGCTCTTATATTTTTTACGGTAATGCTTGACCAGTGGCGCGCCTCACTCTGCTCACTGCTGTAGCCTTCTCCTACCGTGGGCCCACCCTGTGTAGCTCGCTTGCTCCGCCTGTCGCACGCCCTACCTACGCCGCTCACTCCTCATTCCTCTCTCCCGCCTGTCGCGCGCCACCCGCACCTTGTTCCTCGCTTCGGCCATGTGTCGCGCCGCCCGCTCCCTCCCGTAGCGCGCGCCGCTCGCCCGGCCGAGGCAAGGTCGGTGATGGTGGTGGTGACGCGCGCGCCGCTGGTGCTAGTGCTAGTGGTGCTCACGCTCCAGCGTTCACCGCCAGACCCTACCCCCAACGACTAGAATCGACCGGCCCCGGGCTTCCCCTCTGCTACGTTGTAAATGTATGTTTCAAGTGTTTCAGAGGTATGTTGCAATTGTTACATATGGACGTTGCAAAAGTATCGGGATGTTGTACGTATTGCATATATTTGCAAGTGTTGTCAAAGGTATGTTGCAAGCGTTTGTTCAAAATATTTCATCTGTTTCAGACGTATGTTGCAACAAGTGTTTTATATGGATGTTGCATATGTTTTGCACATATGTTGCAAGTGTTTTATCTAGATGTTGCATATGTTTCACACACATGTTGCATATATTTTTATTTAGATGTTGCATATGTTTCACACATGTTGTAAATGTTTTATCAGTATGTTGCATATGTTTCACACATATGTGATGATTAGCATATGAATGTATCATCTGTGACAGACGTTTGTTGCATACAAGTGTTTCATGTTGCAAGTGTTTCATGGGTCACGGTGAGTGATGGCGCACGACCTAGGCGACGAGGGATGGTGCGCGACAAGCTTGAGGCCGGCGGACGGGGACCCCGCGAGCTGGGGCCAGATCCCGAGTCCTGCCCACGCGGAGAGGGAAGGGTCCAGGGGAAGGAGCGGGGCGCAGCGCTTGGGCAGGCTGCGCGGCCGTCCGGATGCGAGGAGCGGCGGGCGCAGCGTCGAGGGCAGGGTGCGCATGCGAGTCGGAGCGAGGCGTCAGGACGTGTGTCCGTTCGAACGTCTGGGCGCTAGCCACGCTCATTTTTTAAGATATCGTTTTGTGTCTTATAGTCCATCGTTTTTTACTGGCCTTTATTTTTTTCTTTGAGATATATTAGATGTGACCCTCTTATGAGTGTCTTTATTAAAAAAACAAGATGATGAGCCTGCATCAACAACCTTTTGCGGCCGCACAAGTAACTCAGGCCCTGAAGGCCTGAACCGCTCGCTATTGCAGTTGGGTGGTGGCACCCACTGTCCCATACTCCCGTCCAAACGGACCAAACCTCTCTTAACTCTCCATTCGGCACTCGGTTCAGAGTCGTACACTAGTACGCTGTTTAGTTTCCAAAATTTTATAAAATTTTTTAAGATTTTTCGTCACATCGAATCTTTGGACGTATGCATGAAGCATTAAATATAAATAAAAAATAAAACTAATTACACAGTTTAGACGAAATTCACGAGACGAATCTTTTAAGCCTAATTAGACTATGATTAGACACTAATTACCAAATAACAACGAAAATGCTACAATACTATTTTTCAAAAAATTTCGCCAACTAAATAAGGCCGTAGACTACTAGTAGTACATTTTGCCATTGTCGCCTGCACCTCGACGTACGCTCATTATTGTTTCGGCCGGAACCGGACCTCCCTCCTGCTGCCAACTGCCAACCAGACCGCGGTATTTCGGTCCGGCTTGGCCTGGCCTCATCTAATTTTTCAGATCAAAGAATCCCCTCCCATTACCCCACCCTGTGCGGCGACCGGCGACGGCGAGCCCTCAAATTCCACGGGCACACGGTGCAGGCACGCTACCGTCATCAATCGGACGGATCTGCACCGACGGACGCAATTGAATTCGAGCCTGATCAAGGTGGTTGGATCGTGCAGGAGAACCTTGAATGGCCGGCATCAGTAGCAGCGCGGCTGCTCTCCTCTGAAGAAAGAGCAGTCGCGATCTGAGCTGGTCCCTGGCTCTGTATATATATGAGGTCTGGGCCTTCTTGGTCTCACCATCGCCCAGACCACAGCCACATCACTACCTAGTCAGTAGTCACCTACACTACAAAGCTCGTGGCACGAAGCTAGGTTGGTAGAGGCAATGGCGTCCAAGGTTGAGCTGGTGGTGGAGGTCAAGTCCCCGGCGGACAAGCTGTGGGCGGCGCTGCGCGACTCCACGGAGCTGTTCCCCAAGATCTTCCCCGAGCAGTACAAGAGCATCGAGATCGTCGAGGGCGACGGCAAGTCCGCCGGCACCGTCCGCCTCCTCAAGTACACCGGGGGTACGTAACCATCGCCTTGTCTGCTAGCGCTGGGACTGGGACCGCTAACGACGACGACCACGGATATATCGGATGTTTGCTGTGCATGTGTTGCAGCGGTGCCGATGCTGACGTTCGCCAAGGAGAAGCTGGAGGTGGCGGACGACGAGAACAAGGTGGTGTCGTACAGCGTGGTGGACGGCGAGCTGGTGGACTTCTACAAGAACTTCAAGATCACGCTGCAGGTGGCCCCGGCCAAGGCGGCGCCGGAGGGCGAGGCCGAGGCCGGCGCCGGCGCCGTCGTCAACTGGACCATGGAGTTCGACAAGGCCAACGACCAGGTGCCCGACCCGGACGTCATCAAGGAGACCGCCACCAAGACGTTCCACGACCTCGACGACTACCTCCTCAAGAACTAGATGGAGATGGTCCAATAATCCAGTTTACTACTAGTGCTCTAGCGCACGTCGCTGGTGTGGTGTGGTGTCCATGCTGGCCTATTTGCTACCTAGCTACCGCGGGCCGTGTCCTTGTCTCAGGCTGATGTTGCTGCGGCCGCATCGTGCATCCGATGACGTGTCGTTGCACACTAGTCCTCCGAGTCAATAAAGCTATCCGTGTCCATTGCGCACTCGATACAGCGCCCGCCGCTTCAGAGTTCGGACCTTGGGACGGAGACCATATCTCTAGGCACTCTGGATTGTTGAAGAACTGATTGCTATACTCGATGGGAGGAAGAGGACACCGCCGAACGCAGAACGCTAGGAAAGAACGCGCGCAGAGCACGGCCACCGCCGACAAGGCCGCGCAGACGCAGTCACGCAGGATGTAGTAACGGACTCGCCACTGGCACGCTGGTGGGCGTACCGCGGACCAGCATCAGTGCATCACAACACAACTGGGGCGCGCACACCAACGCGCCCGAGCCGAGCCACCATGCCGGCCGCGACGCGCAGGGGAGAGCGCGCACGACCGCAGTACCAGCAGTCCAACATGCGTGCCAACACGCGCACACACGCAGGTGGCCGATGAGCCACCGCACGGGCAAGGCCGCCGCCGTTGCGCAGCTGGGACGACAAGGCGCACTCCGAGGAGGCACCCGCGCGCGGCAGGTAAAGATTAGGGTGCTACTGCCTTCTCTTGACGCTGCTCCTGACACGTTGGTCAACGATAAGTGGCGAACCAAGCAATCACTGACCAGCAGGCAATTTGCCAGATCAAGAATTCCATCCATATTCTCCACCGCCTGCGCAGCTTTCAGTATCCCGTCCCGAGCTCTACATTTTCTTTACAGGAATCTCACGCTGCATGTGCTGCAGGTGATATGTGTTTGGGTAAATTGAACTATATTCAGCTTGTTCGGCAGCTGGTTAAAATCGGCATGCCCTGATCTCTGTTCTCGATTGGCATCATATGATTTGTACATAAAGAAAATTGAACTATATTAAAATTGCCATGCCCTGATCATGGTGGGGCCATGTTCGCTTTGCTGAAAAGCAAGACTAAAAAGTACTATTCGCTAATTTGTTATGAGAGGAAAACACTGTTCCTTCGCTGAAAAAAGTACGAAAGATAAGCCAAGCGAACAGGCCAGACGAGAGGGGTAGGTTGTGGTTGTAGCCTAGTACTAGGGGAATTGGCTATGGTGGTACAACAATAATTTTGTAAAGGAAAGTTGCCGGTTGGGGAATCGAGGGTGAGTTGTTAGGGCCTGTTTAGTTGCCAAAATTTTTTACACAGTACTCATCACATCGAATCTTGCGGCACATGCATTGAGTACTAAATGTAGACGAAAAAAAAACTAATTGCACAGTTAGATGAGAAATCGTGAGACGAAACTTTTAAATCTAATTAGTCCATAATTAGACACTAATTGTCAAATACAAACGAAAGTGCTACAGTTGCCAAAATCCAAAAAAATTTTGATCTAAACGGGGCCTTAGTTCTAGTCGCACCGCCGATGCAGCAGGAGTAGCCACCGTTGCTAACAGAGATCAGGACATGCCAATTTCAGTATGGTGCAGAGTTAGGGATAGACTAGGGTGAGTCTCGTGCTCAAGGCACGACTTTGATAGAAGGTGTTTGCTCTAGTCAAATTAAAAATATGCATTAGTTTGTGCAACGTGCACCTCTCAAATGACCTCGACCTTGCACAAGTCCAGCCACCCGCTTGCCACTTACCCAAGGCCTAACCCTCTCCACCTCCACCCTTTGTCCTGTATACTACCAAGTCACCATTATCGAGCACCACCAGGGTGGGTCTTCATTATTATTAGTAAGCAACAACATTTGTAAAATGTATTTTCCTCGTATTACTTAGGTCTTCTTGGTAATTAATTAAGTATAGAAAATTCTTAACATTGTAAAATACGAACTTAGGGTGTTATACTGACAGTCGGTGCTAGAACTATTCGGTGTGGTGACGCAAGTCACAAGTAAGTCATTGGCCGCGACTAGTGTGGCGTGTCTAGTTGCATTATCCTATAGGAGTGGAGCGACATAGAGCATATACGGTTGGGGTTTATTGGACTTCACATATGCCTAGTTGTTGTTTTTTCATGTCGCTTGCCAAGTGGAGGCTATCACTGGGCATAATTTTGGGTTCTAAATGCATTCATGGGTGAAAGATGACACCTAACCTCGATCGACATTTATCTTGGGCCTTGGCGCGCTGAGATTTGCTGTTGTGATTGGCACCTGCAACGACACTTGTATGTCTAACTCCCATCCCTGTTGATTATGTAAATCTAGCTTTTCAATGAACCAGTTAATCTCAAGTTTGACATATAGAACAATCCTCCATCACATGGAAGGAATATTAACATGTACTACATCCTCTATAACATGTATATACGCACATTGTTCCATTCGGACAATGATGACTTGTTCTAGCTTATGATTGGTCATTGTCTCTCTGTTCATATAGTCTAACAATGAAATACCTTATTACTGTTCTAAAATAGGTATTTCCTTCATTCTAAAAAGGTGTAATTCTCATTGCAAAAACATAAATAAAAGATGTAATTCTAGATCCACTAAAGTCAAATTATTTTAAGTTTGATTAAGTTTACAGAAAATAGTATAAACAATTATGATTTCAAATATGTATTGTATACTATGAAAATATATTTCATGATAAATATAATGATACTTAAACATTAGTCTATTTCTGTAAGAAAATAGTTAAAATTGAGAATGGTTTGACTTAGCACTGTAGCTAAAATCACTCACTTTTGGATAGAGGAAGTATTTTGTTCGGAGGAAATAAGATCTTATGCTCCTTTGGAATGCAATGCAAAATTTCATAGTATCAGAATTCCACATGAACAAGTTTGTTTTTATGCATATAAGAAAAAATGTAAAATCCAGAAAACAAAAGTCCCGCATTCGATTTCCCATGATAAAATTCGAAGGAAACAGTGGCCCTTTCGCCCCTGGTTACAAACCCTCTTTGGGCAACTTTGGCAGTACGGGGAAATAAAGCCAGGGACTGTAGCCCCGAGGGAGAATTTTTTTTGGATCGTCCATTCCCCTCGTCACCTCTGGGAAGACATCCACGTACGGGGAAGCTGCCCTGCCGTTCTTTGGCAGACTTTTTCCGGGGAAGAGAACCGTGCTTTTACCTTTTTCAGCTATTTTGGACAACTTCAGTACAAATAATTGAAAAACCATGTCTTAAAAAATCAGGAAAATCACCAAAAATCAAGAAAAATAAAAAGAGGTGAATAATATAAATAGTCACTACATATCAATGTCATAGCCACAAAATCATGAAAAATCTCAGGTACAAGTCTCTCACCATACAAATACAGACATATCTCGGACCTTAAACCAAATCTAATAAACACAAAAGTATTATCTGACATCTGACCAACTACTAGTAGCATTCATACAGATTGTTCTACATCCTTACATCCAATAGAAAATGGGGAAGTCATAATCATATACTACAATCATCTCTAAATTGACCATCCTTACATCCAATGTCTTCCGGCATCTAGCCAAGTACTATCCAAAGTTACCACTTATTTCAAATCATGCTTTCGCTTCCACTAAGACATCTGCAGAACACAAAATTAATGAAAATGGTGATCTCTCATGACACGTCTGCTCTCGAAACCGCACTTGTATATGGCCAAAATACATATAGGTAAAAGGAGATTGTTCTCATGATGTCTATGGCTATCTATCAGTCGACTAAGATAAATGAAATACACAACTAGCTTCATGCTCAATGCTACTTGTCTTCATCCAAATACATCAACCAAAATAATCGTGAGGACCAAACCAAATGAGTATGCAAGAGCAAGTTGTATACTTGTCTTTCTAGATTAAGTTAAATATCTATTCAATAACTAAATGAGGGTAAATAAATATGCATTTTTGTTTTCAGTAATTCACTTGTTATTAAGGCTACATACAAACAACCACGATGGCCAACAAGTTAAAAAACTGAATCACTATTATGAAAAACCGAATGGAGACTTAAAAAAAAAAGAAAAACTGGAATGCCATAGCGAGACAACAAGAAAGCAATGTGTCGGATATAGTAGAAATAAAAATATAAAATAAGTTACTACTACAAATAATAAATAGCAGAGGACAAGCTGTATGGGATCGATCACTATGACACTATTCTACACCGAGATCAACTGCATGCGATAAGCAGATTTCTTTACCCCAAACAGACCTCGTCACAAAATGCGTAAATAATTGAACTCTAATAGCGAGAACAAAGAAACAGAAAAGATAACAAGGATCTGACGGAGCTGCCGAGAGACCGAACGTAACAGATAAAACCAAACCTTCAGCGATGGAATGCCGGGTCTCTTCCATAGCGGTCCATGGACCAGACGCCTTAGCATTTCGTCGAGAAGTTGGTGGACGTCCCTTTAAATTTCCACCCAAGCACTCAGCTGGCTAATCCAAGTTCAATGGACGTCTTGAAGACAAGAACATGCTTTAAGCGTGGGATGATTCTGCATTTGTGTACGGTGTACCCAATGCCTAGGTGGTTTCTCCCACTAATTCCAACATGCCGCTCGCCGCTTGCTTGCACAAAGAGGGTATCCGCCCATCCACGCTTCGTCGACCGCGCCGCCAAACTAGTAGCCCCGCTCTCAGTATGTATCAGACGGTTAATCTTGCACGGAGAGCTGATCTGACGTTTAGCAGACTAGCAAGTGACGTGGCCCAATAATATGGCAGAGCTTGAACTCTGGTTTCGAAAGGTAAAGATAATCTGATACATGTCAACAAAATCATCAAGAACTGATGATTAAGGCAGTGGAAATTCACTCAATTCAGAGTGGAGATTGACGTGTGTACTCTTATTGAAGCGAGCATTGTATTAAGCCAAGTCGTACTCTGTCAGTTAGTCACCTCCGATCAAAAAGTAAAATCTGAAATCTACCTCTAGTCACCATCTAGCAGGCTAGCACACCAGCTGAACAAACCAAGACTACAATATTCAGAGAATAGCACAGCTAAGCTAAAAAAATCATTCGCCCTGCTCATAACCAAGTCAAATCATCTCACACTCTTCAAGCTGCCTCTTGAGAGGCTTCAGATCCAACACTGATTGCATAACAAGACAGTACTACATCTACAAACAAATTGACCATCTCCTACACTGCACATGAAGCTACAACACAGAAACCTACAGCAGCACATCAAACCACCATGAATCCATGACCGACCACTGAAACAGAATGCAACGAATCAGTAGCAGGCGGAGAACTAACCTGTATCTCCGCGGCATCGTGTTGCTGCCGGACGGGACAATGGGAGCAGAAGCAGTGTCTTGGCTCACGGACCGGTACCTCCAAGATCTACAAGAAACAATGGAAATCTGGGTCAAACTCTAGCGTATCGAGAAACTACGGTTGGGGAAGGAGATGCAGGTGGAGGAGGACCGACCTGCAGAGACGGATGGCGATAGCGACGGCGGTGGAGGAGCGAGGAGGCGGCGGTGTGGGTGAGACAGCCGCCAATGTGATTTCTAGAGATCGACGTGGAGCCGTGAATTTCAGGAGGAACGTCACCGCCGAGCGCTGGGAGATGCGTCGCCGGCCGTAGGGAGAGATGCGCCGCTAGTCGCCGGCACAAACCCGCGCCCCCCCGCCCCCCCCGGGCCGTGACATCGCCAGGATCCCGGCCCTCCGGCTCAACGTTCCCCCGCCACTATGTCGACGGCGGCTCCCGCGCCGGGCTCCACGGCCACGGTGCGGGTATCCAACATCCCGGCCTCGCCCATCGCCGCCGAGCTGCTCGCCTTCTTTGACTCCGCCGTCACCACCGCCGGCGCGGCCTTCGCCTGCGAGATCGCCGCCGCCCACCGCGGTTGGCTCAGCCGCGGCCACGGCTCCGTCCAGTTCGATTCCGCCTCCGCTGCTACCCACGCCATCGACCTCGCCTCCTCGGGCCGCCTGCCCCCTTTCCTCGGCTCCTGCCTCTCCGTCTCCGCCGCCCACGCCGACCTCCTGCCCCGCGCGCCCGACCTCTCCCTCCGCGCCGCCGACGCGAGCCTCATTCTAGGCAACCGTGTCGCCGAGCGAGAGCTGGAGGTGGCCTACTCCTGGGACGGCGTGCGGGCCGAGGTCATCCCGGGGAAGCGGCGTGTGGACCTCTACCTGAAGCAGGATTCCCGGAGCTACAAGCTTGAGGTTCTCTTTGAGGACATCAGGGAGTGCTTTGGGTGCCACCTTGATGGGACGGGCGCCATCTTGCTGCAGGTGAGCTGCTTAGACCGTGCTATTCGTTTCGATGCACAAAGTTCCAAAACCTTGATGCGCTCTTATATGAATTGAAGTGTGCCTGTTTCGAATTAATAGTCGACACACAGATATCTGATTGATATGCATTATCATGAACCCTCATTTTCGGTCAGTAGCCAGGGCCCAGGAGATTCACCCAGTGATTGTGATAGAATAGCTCAATATGGGAGATTCACCCAGTGATTGTGAATTTGTGATAGAATAGCTCAATATGGGTAGAGATGCAAGTCAACAAGTAAATCTACAGATATATTTTCAGGCCAAAGACCATTGGCCCAGCTTTATTGAAAACTTAAAAGGAGTTTTACTGGGGTTACCACTTACCAGCTTATTACAAAATACAAGCCTTCGATAATTCTACTCGACTTTGACTTCTCTCCGGACGGAACACCTCTGAACAAACCTTCTTAAGCAACTATGACTGAAAGAACCTCGACTACTGTCATCAGAACTCAGGAAATGAAAAGAACTACACCAAATGTCCAGCAAAAAGCAGCCTTGCAGAAGAACTCTTTTGACAGTTGAGCGATCATCTCCTCCACATCAGCATATAATTGGACCTCTATTCTGGCCTAACAAACCAGCAGAATGGGAGCATACCCAAGTGGGCTGCAGCCTGTACATGGAGCTTTCTTCTTCCTCTAGTGCTGCACAGAAGGATATTTTGCAATCTTCGATGGCCTGCTTGAGTTCTCTATGTCCGCTATCGCATATGTTGTGTAGCAGCATTCAAAACAATCACACTCTAGGTTTTCATATGATTCATTTACTGCATAATCTAGCCATTTTCCATTTTGAGTAATTACTCAACGACTTGAGAGTTGAGATATGCACAATAAATGTAATCCTCATAAGGGATAAGATCTTTTACTTTGAAACTGATCAATTAACTTCATATTTATGCAAGCATAATCGAGTTTCCTCTGCATGTTATTTGAAGCATGTCTTTTTCATCATATATTTTATTGGGAGTGTAAGCTGTTTAAGATTTATTTACTTAATACATTGAAGTAGATTTTACAAATGCTATTCTATCAATTTTTCCTGTTAATATTAAGCTGCCCTGTTGAATACATAATTACATATTATCTGCAATGATATGGATTTAATGCTTGTCATAGTTCTTCGACTATCAATTTGTTTCAGCTGCAATATTCTCTGGGCATCTTTTTTAATTAATCTGAAGCTACTCTTCTGATAAAATTAATATTATCCTTGCTTCAGCTGGCTTATGCACCAAGAATATACACTGCAATTTCTGGGTCTACAGTTAAATCAAGGTTTACAGATGACCGCTTTCATGCATGCAAGGAGGACGCCAAATTTGCATGGGTCAGAGCACTAGATTTTACACCTAATAACTCTTTCGGCGAGTGTTCCACTCTTGTCCTGAAACTGAGCAAAGGTGTACCAGTATCAGAAATTCTTGAAAGTTTACCCTTCTCAGGAGAATTAGGGGAATTGGCCATTTCTTCGATGGATGCATTTGGCTCCTCCTCCAATGTGGTTCCTCTTGTTGACTGCCCAAATGGCTTTTCCGTGCCTTATGAAGTTCTTTTTCGTCTGAACTCTCTTGTTCACATGGGGAAGCTAGTTGCCAGGCATGTTAATGCTGATCTGTTTAAAGTCCTTGAAGAGCTGTCAATCGATACTTTAAGGAGAATATTTGAGAAAATGAGCAAATTAAAATCTACCTGCTATGAACCTTTGCAATTTATCAGACATGAGGCTCATAGCATGAGTATGAGCAAGAAAGCCTTGTTGTCCAACAAGGAGGGTGGAAAATTGATGAGGTGTTACAGAATTCACATCACACCATAAAAAATATACTGCTTGGGACCTGAGGAAGAAGTTTCAAATTACGTGGTTAAGTACCACTCTCAGTATGCTTCTGACTTTGCTCGAGTTACTTTTGTTGATGAAGATTGGAGCAAGCTTTCTCCCAATGCATTGTCAGCTAGAACTGAACAAGGTTTCTTTTCTACACCCTTGAAAACTGCCCTGTATCATCGTATTCTCTCCATTCTAAAGGAAGGATTTTGCATTGGCCCCAAAAAATATGAATTTTTGGCCTTTTCAGCAAGTCAACTTCGTGGTAATTCTGTTTGGATGTTTGCTTCAAATAATTTTTTGACTGCTGAGAGTATAAGGAGGTGGATGGGCCACTTCGAAGATATCCGTTCAGTCTCCAAGTGTGCAGCTAGAATGGGCCAACTGTTTAGCTCCTCCAGGCAAACATTAGAAGTCACATCATATGATGTAGAAGTAATTCCAGATATTGAAGTCACAACTGATGGCACTAAATATATATTTTCTGATGGTATCGGGAAGATTTCTACTAGATTTGCCAGAAATGTTGCCAAGTTAATTGGATTAGACCCTGCTCACCTTCCCTCTGCTTTTCAAATAAGGTATGGGGGCTATAAAGGAGTCGTCGCTGTTGACCCTACTTCCTTTTTCAATCTTTCTCTACGACCTAGTATGAAGAAGTTTGAATCGAAGAGCACTATGCTGAACATTACAAATTGGAGCAAGTCTCAGCCATGTTACGTGAACCGTGAAATTATCTCTCTTCTTTCGACATTGGGGATAAAGGATGAAGTATTTGAATCGATGCAACAGGATGACATGCACGAATCAGATGGAATGCTAACAAACAAAGAAGCCGCTTTGTCTGTCCTAGGGAAAATTGGTGGTGCTGATACCAAGACGGCAGCTGAGATTCTGCTGCAAGGCTATGAACCAAGTTCAGAGCCTTACCTGTTAATGATTCTTAAAGCCAATGTTTTCAGGTCGTCTAGTCGAACCTAGTCGCTATAGGATCGACCAGGCGACTAATCGTGATTAGTCGTCGACCAGGCCGATTAGTCGAGCCTAGTCGACCCTGGTCGTCCATATAATCGTCCTATGCATCAGGACATATACATACTATATATATACCTATATGTACTATATAGTGTACACAATATAGCAAGCATCAAGACTACATTAGTGTTTAGCAAGTGACTTACTTGTGGGAGTTGTTTTCTTGCCTTTTCTTCACTGTCCAATTGTCCCAAACTCCATTCCTTTGTCGACTTGTTGTCGGAAGCCCGCAATACCAAAGAACACCATAATTAGCAACACTAATGTAGTCTTGATCTTGAGTTATTGACACATATCAATAGCAAAGATCATTGTAAAGAGCAAATATCTAGCATTTAGCAGACCATGGCAGCCACACGGGCAAGCATATTACATAACCAAATTAGTTTAGTACAGAGATAAGCAAATTAGTTTAGTACAGATAAGCAAAAGTGTTCAACACAAAGTCGCAAACATCAACACACAATAGTCCAACAAAAGTAGGCAACTAGTAGCCATCTAATAAAGCAAATCATCATTGAAATGGAAGCCTCCATGTCCATCTGCAGATTGCTGTTGGTGGTGGTGCAGATTCTTCGTCCTCATCCATAGGTGTTCTTTGAATCAGATTCTACTTGCTGATCTTGTTCTTCATCATCTATTTCATCAAGATCTTGAGCCCTTTGTGTTCCTTGGACGCTTCCTAGCATAAGTACGCCTCACAAGTAAGGGAATAGCAAGATCTGAAAGAGCAGCAGCCCTAGGCAAGTTACGGCCCTCTAGACCCGAGTTGCACCAATAGCATCATCCACATTAGCCCAAGTAATAGCATTGGCAGCACCTTCATGAACTGGTTCACAATTGTCATTGACCCATTCATTTTCCTAATGAAATTCATCAAGCAAGAGTGGATTTGATCGCTTTCCTTTGGAACCCAGCTCTCTAATGTTTTTAAATCTGTTTTCCATCTTGCGGTTGTAAATGACATATACCAACTTATTTAACCTTTTGTGCTCTAACGGTTTCTCTTTTTGTATGGATCTACACAAAAGATTGCAGAATTAGATACCATACTCAATTACTTAGCACAACAATAGTCAGTAGTATAGCACTTACAAAGAGAAAATTCACTCCAATTACGCCGCATCCGGATGCGAGAACAACAAAGGCTAACAATCATTTTTGCTAAACATTGAAGTTCATATGTCAGGCCACCATATGCACCCCACCAAAGAACTGCAAAGTCCATTCCAAAGTATAGAAATCCATTATTAGTTCATTGCTGATATCTTTCGGAAAAGGTAAGGAAATAATTATACAAAATTTCAGATTGGAGAACTTACTAGGATTTTTTCTATCTCTGTCTCTTATTGCTCCCGGCTTTGAGAAGGATTGGCCTTCAGACCTCTCATAGTCATCCGCTTGCTTGCTTATCTTGTTTTGGTCCTCATCATCACTCACCATCTTCCACATAACTTGATTAAACATAATTCTCAGCTTTGTGGCTTGTCTCCTATCTTTTTCCCTTATGGCAAAGTACTTGCTTGGATTCAAGTATAGGGCTGCTCCATACAACCGCCGCTCCATTTGGTTTTCCCATCTCTTGTCAAAATATTCTAGTACCTCTTTGAGTAAATTTGGTTTGTCTTTCAAAGAATCCTTGATTGCAGCCTTTGCATGATCCATGGCTGCCATAATCTCGAGAGCCGCAGGTGTCTCATCTCCATCTGCAATCCTAAGAGCAACAAGAAGTGGTTTGTGTAGCTCTTATGCATAATTCCACTTTATTCCAAAATGGCATTGAAAGGATAATGTTCTCAACTTGCCGCCTTCTCAGTAGTGCTAGAGAAATTGGTAGCTTGCCATTCCTCACTAACCACTAAATTCCTCAATCCAGTCTTGTTCTTATGCATGCTTGCCAATGTGAGAAATGAAGTGGCAAAGCGAGTTATAATGGCCTCACAAGATCTCCTCCAATCTTATCTCGCATGAGATCTAGAATCCTCCCATGCTTGTACATGAACCTACACACCTTCTTTGCCATGTTGATGCAAGTGTTGAATTCCTTGATCTTCCCAATGTCCTCTAATAACAAATCCAAGCAATGGGCAGCACATGGTGTCCAAAATAGATGTGGGATCCTCTCCATTAAAAGCCTCCCTGCAGCCTTTGAAGTTGGCTCCATTGTCGCGATAACAATCCACTACCACATGTTCCTTCCCAACCTTATCTATTTGCTTCTCCAACAAATCAGCCAACAATGGTCCATTTGCTATCTCACTTGAAGCATCAACAGACCCTAGAAAGAAAGTCCTGCTTGGATGTTAGCAAGGAAATTGATGAGATGGCGATGGCTTGTGTCATCCACCCATCGGACATTATGGTGCAGCCATATTCCTTCCAAGCCTCCTCATGCTTCTTCCTCAACTCGATGTCCTATTCACAGCCTTTTCAAGCAAGTGGTACCCTTATATCATGATATGATGGTGAGCGGTACCTGTAACGTATTGTCCAATTGACTCAATCAAAACTTCCCAAACTTCTAGAATTAATGACTTTCAATGGAATGCGATTCTCATAGAAGAAATCTGCAACATGATCATCAACAACTACTTTGGCCTCCTTACTTTTCTTTGTGCAATGCTCAAGTGTAGGTTGACTATGCTTGGATCTGTGCCTCTCTTCAACTACTTCTTCCGGTGACTTGCAAAGCATTGAGGCTCAACGATCTGGACATTTTTGAGTGGTTGGGTTTGGTGCAAAGAAGGATAAATGAAAGAAGAGATGGCGACTGAGCAATCCTCTTCTTTTGCTTGACTTTTGTTCCAGAGCTTGGTTCTGCAAATTCCGGTTCTTCTGCAAAGAAAGTAGCATCATCTTGTTGCTCTTCATCTTCACCTAATGTAGGATTCAAAGCTAGAATAGTTCTTGAGTTCTTTTTCGTGTAATCACCATCTCCTTCTTAACTACTTCGGAGCACTAGGACATCCAACTGCATCTCCATACCCCGAAGCAAGGTGTCGCTTGAATCTTTTTATTCCGAGGGACAATCTTTTTTGCAAAATATGCCTTTGCACAAAATCCTTCTTCAAGCATCATCGCCACCACCCATACTTCCATCCCGGATCTTGTGATTTTGCCTTCCTCTTGGTGTCAACAGACTTGGGCAAAGAAGCTCACGGAGGTAGCTTTGCAATAGCCCTCTCAACTAGTGTTGCAACATCCGGACTAGCCGAGGAAGCCATGGCAATTACTGACTGACCCAGATGATGAATGTAGAACACCTCCATCAAGGTCGCATCATCGGCATTATCACTTCCACGTTTGCACGTCGTCGCTCCACGGTTGCATACAAGCACAAGGTCGATAGTTAGCAAAGCATTACTAGCAGAGCCAGAGAGGATGACCATGTAGGTCGAGAGAGCAGATGGGGAGGGAAAATGGACATACTGATCGTCAGAGCAGCTCATCACCAACGAAAGCAGAGGGCGGCACCTTCAGCCTTCAAATCAGAGGAATGCAGCTCTAACTCGAGCCCCTGACCCCGAGAGAACATGAAGCATCCAAATCAGAGGAGTAGAGATGAGAGGCAGAGGAGCGGGGATGAGGGAAGGACTGAACGGCAGGGGGGAGGCAAATGGCGGCGGGAATAGATCACAGAGGGCCGGCCAATTGCCGGAGCAGAGGGCGGCGGAGGAGATGGTAGGCGGCGGGAGCAGTACACTGAGCAGAGGGCTGAGCGACTGTGCACCTGAGGAACAGAGGGAGGGCGGGCGCAGAGAGTGTAGATGGCCACCACCGCGGGAGAGGTAGGGCGAAAGCGGATCGGGCGCAGATACGCCGCTGCGGGAGCAGATGAGGGGTGGCGGGTGGCCACTGGGAGCAGAGGGCGGCGGGACCGCCGGAGCAGAGGGCCGCGGCAGGAGCAAGTCGCAGGGCGCCACCACCGGCGAGAAGAGGGCGGGCGCGATCATGAAGTCGCGAAAGCACAGGTCGGCGGTGGTCAGCATTTCCGTGAAATTTTGTCGCTACCACCAAAACCCTTATCCCTCCCACGCCACGCATATCAGTGATCACAGGCAGCAGCCACGCAGCAGCTGCGTTGCGCGCTCTGGCCTTTCGAAGACAAGCGCAGTAAAAAAACAGCCAAAACTAGTCGCCCCACCCCTAATCGGACGACTAATCGCGATTAGGCGATTTATTAGTCGGACGACCGTGCCCCTAATCGAGCTAATCGGGTCGAGGTCCCTAATCGAGCACCCGGGACCGATTAGGACGATTAATCGCGATTAATCGCGATTAATCGGACGACTTGAAATCATTGCTTAAAGCCCATCGGGCTAATAGGGTGACCAAACATAAGAACTAGGTGTAAGATTCATGTCCGTAAAGGCCGTGTTCTTATTGGTTGTTTGGATGAAACCCGCAAATTAGACTATGGCCAAGTTTACATCAGAATTACAAAGAATCGCAAGGACCGTATAAGTACGGTGAATACCATTCTTTTGCAATGATGATGGCAAAACAAATTGTAATTGTTGGAAAAGTTGCAATCACAAAAACCCATGTCTCCATCCCGGTGATGTCGAGTACTTGAAGTCAGATATGACCCTCGCATTGGATGCTAGGGGTCTTATTGATTGTGTTGTATTTCCTCGAGAGAGGGAAAGGTATGTTTGCTATTTCGTGAAAAATGACTTATCTTTAGAATGTGGAGTTCAATTTCTCTCGTCCATGGTCGTGAAGCAAATTGTCTCTCGAACTAAGACATCAGATTCCATCTCTCGCTAGCAATGTTATCCATATTATGTTGATTTTGTAGTTTACAATTAACCATTTGGATTAATGTTGTCAATGCTTGCACTATCCTTACTTGTAATCTTCAAATTAATTAGGCCTCATCCAAATGAATGCTCGGGTGGCGATTTGGATGGCGACCTCTTCTTTATTACTTGGGATGACAAACCGATTCCGGAGAAGGTTGATGCACCTATGGACTACATCGCAACGAGGCCACGATAATGGACCATGTTGTTACACTCGAGGTACACTCCATACCCCTGAGTGTCTTTCATTCGCTCATTTTTCTCGGATTATATGTATATACTATGGTTGATTTGTTGTTCTTCTTATTCGTTAATCGGATTTCTATAGTCATAAAATATCGGTTTATAAGCGATCTTTCCCCGAGACGATGGATTAAGGCATTTTAATGATAATGATATGTACGGAGCTAAGGAACCTTGCATGTTTCTAAAATGTGTGTATGCATTTAGGATTAACCTCATGAAACAAAAGTCTTGATAGGGCAATAATGAGCATATAGAACTCATTGTTAAGACCACATTTTAGTCCATCAAGATGGTATTAAGATGGTATGTGCATTATGCTCACCGTGAACATTCAAAGAAATGCCCTGCAGATTTCGCCATCTTGCATGGTTATTTTCGCTTGAGCAAAATGTTACAAATGAACATCTGCATGCAAATGCTTGCAGTGAAATTCGTAAGCACTTAAATGGGTTACATGATAAATGATGCCCTCGGTGTTATCTCCATCGCCCACTTGATCCACGCAGATCAGTAATCCATTTGAAAGCTCGCAGCCCCGAGTGTTTTCAAATTGGGGCGCCTGCACTCCATGGCGGTCGACTTTGCTAAGACAGGGGAGCTCCACCGAGATGCCTGGGGCCGAGGCCCGGGTGTTCCCGGACTTCATGGAACGACGGGAGAGGCCAATGTACGTCTCCAGCGGCGTCCTTGGCAAGCTCTACACGTGCAGCCACTGTGCCACGAGGAGAACGCAGAAGCACCCCCGCCTATGGCCCCACCGAAGCTGCGTGTATGACCCGGACTCGAGGTCGTCGGTTTCGACAAGTTCACGGACACCAGAGAGCAAGATGAGGCGTCTGTTGACAAAGTGGGCACCACGATGACCTACTCATGGTGATGGATAAGTCTCGTGTGCCTCGGTTTTTATAGGGTCAGTTTGATCATATGGTCCTTGTGGCTGTTTTTTCTGCATTTTTAGGACAAGATCTTAGACTAGAGGACAACATCTTAGAGGACATCATCTTAGACTAGAGGACAACATCTTAGCTAGGACAGCATATTAGCATCTTAGACTAGTATTTTGGCATATGCTTGGCTGGCTACCAAATTTATAAATATGTAACCTCAACCCCAAAGTTGGTATGGCATTGAGAAATAAACGAAAAATTATCCCAACTCCTAATGTCATCCTCTCTCGATGAGAGTAAGAGAATTTACTTTCAAAAGTGAGAATTCAGCGACTAACAACCTGTATCGAGCCGTACTATCTCAGTAGCTTTGAGCATCTCCTCGCTCATCTCCTTCCCCACCATTAACAGCCCCCAGTGCGAGCAAAGAACAGCCCCGCCGGGCCTGCTCACCCCTCCCCATTCGCCAGACGAGCAAGTTAGCCTCCTCAGGCAGCCCTCTCCCCCCACGCAGCAGCCCCCAGTAGCGCGTCATGTCCGCAGGCGATCTCGGCCTTCGGTCGCCTCGAAAGCACGCTTGGCGTCGGCAGAGGCCGAACTTGCCGCAGCAGAGGAATGCGAGATGAAGCGGCGGCAAAGACCGCAGCAGTAGAAGCGGCAAGGGCGCCGAGGCCGGCAATGGCGAGAGCGGGCAGCAGCAGAGCGGAGGCGATAAATGACGACGATGAATGAATGCGTCAGGCGGCTGCAGCGGAGGTTGAGGCTCTGCGCGGCAGCATCGGCAGCTCCATTTCCGCTGACGACACCGCCGACACGGACCTCGAGCTGCTAGAGAGAGAGAGGCAGCATGAAAGCGCTGGCGGCGTAGGCAGCCGCGCCGCGCCACGAAAGCGGAGGCGGCAGCCAGACAGCGCGGACGGCTGGCGGCGCTCCTGGAGGAGGCGCGCACGGCGGTGGCGCTCCTGGGGCAGCTGCGCACGCCCACAAGCGCGGCGGCAGCCCAGACAGGCGTGGACGCGCCGGTGGCGCTCCTGGAGGAGGCGCGCACGGCGGCGGTGGCGGACGGGTCGATGGAGAGCGCGGCCTTCACAGGCAGCGTGGCTCTCTCTCCCCGGATCGGTACCGTGGTTACCACGGGCTCCTGTGTCGTTGTCGGGGACGTCGGTCCCGGCAAAGGTGGCCTACCCTCACCAAGACCAACTATGTCGAGTGGGCTGCGGTGATGAGGGTAAAGCTCAGTGCGGCACATGTGGGAGGCGGTCCGCAGACGGCGACGCCGACCACGACCTAGATCGACGGGCGCTGGATGCTCTCATCACTCTGATCCCACCCGAGATGCGATTCTCGCTTACCATCAAGTGGATCGTCAAGGAGGCTTTGGGACGCCATCGCATTGCAAGACGATCGGCAGCGATCGCGCCGCAAGTCCACACTACAGGCACTTCGCAAGGAGTGGGAGAACCTGGCCTTCAAGCCAGGTGAGGACGTTGATGACTTTGCTCTCCGTCTCAACACTCTATTGCAGAAGATGGTGCAGTTCGGCGACGACACCTACGGCGAGGAGAGAGCTGTCGAAAAGCTCTTCCGCTGCGTTCCCGAGAAGTACAAGCAGATGGCTCGCTCGATCGAGTCTCTGCTAGATCTCTCCACGATGTCGATCGAGGAGGCGATAGGTCGCCTCAAGGTCGTCGACAGCGATGAGCCACAGTCCCTCTCGGGGCCCATCACCACTGGCGGGAAGCTCCTTCTCACTCGGGAGCAGTGGCTTGCCAGCCAAGGTGACCGGAGGAAGGGGGAGCCTTCTTCCGCGACAGGTGGCCACAAGCGTGGCAAGCCGCGCAAGGCGCGCAGAGACGCCCAGGACGAGGCGCGAGGACGTGTCGAGGGTGATGCCCGCGGAGGCGCCTAGGGCGGTGCCGTCGGCAGGCACAAGCCGGCATGAGACGACGTCGCCATAATCGCGCCAGCTTGGCCATTGGGCCAAGGATCGCCGATACCACGACGCGCTGCCAGCCACGCCGCGACAAAGTGAGGAGGAGGAGCTGGCTCGTTCATGGCACATGCCAAGATCGAAGCTACCTCCAATGCACCGCCGCAGCAGCTCTCCTCCACCTTGACGAGCCAAAAGCACACGCCTCCTCGGTGATGGCTCCAAGAACGACAAGATCGACGGTGGTGCCTCGACACCGGCGCCACCCATCACATGACCGGTCGACGGGAGTTCTTCACCGAGCTTGACTCTAGCGTCCCGAGGCTCCGTCAAGTTTGGGGATACCTCCGGCGTGGAGATCAAGGGCGTTGGCTCGTCATCTTCACCACCGTGTTCGGTGAGCATGCATCGCCATCGGAGTCTACTACATCCCAGCGCTGAGGAACTCCATCATCGCCTTGGGACAATTTGGATGAGAAGGGTTCAAGCGTGGTGGTTGAGGACGGAGTCATGAGGATTTGGGATCGTCGTCGCCGCCTTCTTGCCAAGGTATCCAAGCGCAAATCGACTCTACGCCCTTAACATGCGTGTGGCACAACCCCTCTGTCTCGCTGCTCGTCGGGACGACGAGGCGTGGCAGTGGCACGAGCGTTTCGGGCACCTTCACTTTGAGGCCCTGAAGCGGCTCAGTGCCACGGAGATGGTGCGAGGCCTGCCGTGCCTCGACCATGTGGAGCAGCTCTGCGACGTCTGCGTGTTGACGAAGCAGAGGCGACTCCCCTTTCCACAGCGGGCTAGCTTTCGAGCCAAGGAGAGGCTCGAGCTTGTGCACGGGGACTTGTGTGGCCCGGTGACACCGGCCACACCGGGAGGACGACGCTACTTCCTGCTGCTCATCGACGACCTCTCCCGCTACATGTGGGTGATGGTCCTCGGCAGCAAGGGAGAGGCTGCGGACGCCATCAGACGCGCGCAGTTCGCTGCGAGGAGTGAGTGCGGCCGCAAGCTACGCGTGCTGCGCAGACCGACAACGGCGGCGAATTCACGGCGATCGAATTCGCAGATCATCGCAACGACGAGGGCATTCAGCGCCACTACTCCACGCCGTACAGCCTGCAGCAGAACGGCGTCGTCGAGCGGCGCAACCAGACGATTGTGGGGATGGCTCGGGCCCTCCTCAAGCAGAGGGGGATGCCGACTGTCTTCTAGGGAGAGGCGGTGGTGACGGCCGTCTACATCCTCAACTGCTCGCCTACCAAGGCGCTCGATGGCAGGACGCCGTACGAGGCTTGGCATGGGCGCAAGCCGGCAGTCTCCCACCTGCGGGTCTTCGGCTGCCTCGTGTTCGCCAAGGAGCTTGGCCATATCAGCAAGCTCGACGACAGGAGCACTCTGGGAGTGTTCATCGGCTACGCGGAGGGCTCAAAGGCCTACCGCATCCTCGACCCGAAAACACAGCGTGTGCGCACGGCGCGCGACGTTGTATTCGACGAAGGCCGAGGATGGGCGTGGGACAAGGCGGTGGACGATGGCTCGGCTCCGACGTACGACGACCTCACTGTCGAGTACGTCCACTTCGAGGGAGCTGGGGGAGTAGGCAGCTCTTCTTCGGCGAGCGCGTCTACCCCAGTCCCCGAGCCTCCACCGACCCCGGCGCCTGCTACTCCGACAGCACCACACTCTCCAGCCAGGACCTCAGCTGCGATGAGTTCTTTGTCGGCTCCACCACAGCCGGCAACACCACACTCTCCAGCCAGGACCTCGGCTACGATGAGTTCTTCGCCGGCTCCACCACAGCCGGCAACACCACGCAGTCCAGCATCGACAGGCACCTCTCCGGGCACGTCTACTCCAGCTCGTGTCGAGCACAGCCCGGTTGAGCTCGCTACTCCGCTCTCTCACGACGAGGAGCGCATCGACGCGTACCACGACGGCGAGCCATTGCGGTACCGTACGATGGAGAACCTTCTCGGTGACCAGCCGGTGCTGGGACCGGTGTCTCACGACCTGGAGGCGCAGTTGCACCTTGCGTGTGACGACGACGAGCCTCGGTCGTATGCAGAGGCCGAGAGACACACGGCATGGCACTCCGCGATGCAGTTGGAGATGGATGCGGTTGAGAAGAACCGCACCTGGGAGCTTGCTGACCTTCCTCGTGGTCACCGCGTGATCACCCTTAAGTGGGTGTACAAGCTGAAGAGGGATGAAGCCGGTGCCATCGTTAAGCACAAGACTCGCTTGGTGGCACGAGGTTTCGTGCAGCAGGAGGGGGTCGACTTCGACGACGCCTTTGCTCCCATGGCACGGATGGAGTCCGTGCGACTCCTCCTTGCGCTAGTTGCCCAAGAGGGCTGGCGTGTTCATCACATGGACGTCAAGTCGGCGTTCCTTAATGGCGACTTGAAGGAGGAGGTCTACGTGCATCAGCCGTCGGGATTTGCGATCCCCGGCAAGGAGGGCAAGGTGCTCCGCCTGCGCAAGGCCCTCTATGGCTTGCGTCAGGCACCGAGGGCGTGGAATGCCAAGTTGGATTCCACGCTAAAGGGGATGGGCTTCGAGCAAAGCCCGCACGAGACGGCCATCTACCGACGGGGCAGTGGAGGTAATGCTCTGCTGGTGGGTGTCTACGTCGACGACTTGGTGATCACCGGCACCAAGGATGCGGAGGTGGCGGCATTCAAGGAAGAGATGAAGGCCACCTTCCAGATGAGTGACTGGGCCTCTCTCCTTCTACACCGGGAATCGAGGTGCACCAGGATGACTCGGGATCACGCTTGACTGCACCGCCACGCCAAGCGCCGCGTCGTTGAGCTAGGTGGGCTCACCGACTGCAACCCAGCTCTCACTCCGATGGAGGAGAGGCTGAAGCTGAGCCGCGACAGCACGACGGAGGAGGTGGACGCTACGCAGTACCGGCGTCTTGTGGGGAGCCTTCGCTACCTCGCCCACACACGCCCGGACTTGGCATTCTCCGTCGGCCACGTTAGTCGGTTCATGCGGCGACCGACGACGGAGCACCGCCAGCTGTGAAGAGGATCATCCGCCACGCTATGGGACTCTCGACCACGGCCTCTACTACCCGAGGTGCCCTAGGGTGGCACACTTCGTCGGGTACAGCGACAGCGACCACGCCGGCGACATCGACACCAGCAAGAGCACGAGCAGGATCCTCTTCTTCCTCGGCAAGTGTCTCGTTAATGGCGATCGGTCAAGCAGCCAGTGGTGGCTCTGTCCGGTGCGAGGCCGAGTACATAGCGGCCTCCACCGCTTCGACTCAGCGCCTGCTCGCTTCGATCGCTTGGTGATCTCCTCGGCAGAGACACTAGAGCGGTGGAGCTCGTGGTGGACAGCAAGTCCGCCTGCCCTGGCAAAGAACCCGTGTTCCACTTAATGCAGCAAGCACATCCGGGTGAGGTACCACTTCATCCGAGGCTGTTTGGAGGAAGGGAGCATCAAGGCGAGCTACATCAACACAAAGGACCAACCATGGACCCGCTCACCAAGCCCATTGGGAGGATCAAGTTCCTTGAGCTCCGCTCCTCCAGACCGGGATGGTTCAACTCTCCCACAAGATGACGCACAAGACTTAGGGGGAGAATGATGGATAAGTCTCATGTGTGGCTGGTCTTTGTAGGGCTGTGCTGCTCACATGGTCCTTGTGACTGTTTTTCTGTTTTTAGGACAGCATCTTAGACTAGAGGACAATATCTTAGACTAGAGGACAGCATCTTAGCTAGGACAACATATTAGCATCTTAGACTAGCATCTTGGCATATGCTTGGCTGGCTAGCAGCCTATAAATATGTAACCCCAACCCCTCAGGTTGGTATGGCATTGAGAAATAAACCAGAAAATTGTCCCAACTCCTAGTGTCATTCTCTCTCGATGAGAGTAAGAATTCTGCTACTTCCAAGAGTGAGAATTCAGCGACTAACACGCGGAGGGCGAGGACGAGATTCTGACGGGCAACATCCGGAACAAGCTGGTGTATCTGCGGCGGGACAACAAGCGCTACTTCGAGATGAAGGACCGTATCATCGCCGCCGTCGACGCCCTGCACGCAGAGGTGAGGGGGTGGCTCAGGGCGTGTAGGCCTGATGACACGTCGAAGGTGGCGTCGGCGTGGTACCACGTGACGTACCACCCGGACCGCCGCGGCGAGAAGCGGTTCTGGAGCTTCTCGTGGATCGTCTGCGACACCCTGCTGGCGATCAAGGCGGCGCGCAGGTGCCGGAAGCGGGTGGAAGACGCCGCCGTGCCCATGGACTGCAACGCCTCTGCCACGCCCATGGACTGCAACGCCTCTGCCACGCCCATGGACTGCAACGCCTCTGCCACGCCCATGGACTGCAACGCCTCCTAGGCGGAGCCGCCACTGTGACAGTGAAGTGAGCTTGTGATGCGAGTGGAGAACTGTAGTAATAAGATACTCCCTCCATCACGTAATATCTGTCGCTTTTGGTTTTCGTACCACAAGTTTGACTCGATTTGTAAAAAATACGTGCAACATTTGTATCTCTAAATAAATTTATTAAAAAATTAGATTCAAAGATCTTTCAATAATACTAATTATGTATCATAAATATTAATATTTTTTAATATATATTTTGTCGAAGTTGTTTTTCGAAAAACGAAAACGACATATATTTTAGGACGGATCGAGTAAGAAGCACCGCTGCTTGCTGTAAAAAAAGTAGTGCGGTCTGTCTTGAGCTCCTCCTGTACACTCTATCGTAGTATCGTATCGTATGGTGGAACCTTGGAATCATGATTTGCCCCCCTTGATGACTAAAATATGCGGAGCATCCGAGCAGGTATGAATTATGATTAGCTAAGCCGTTACGTATGGGTTACCAAGGGCCCCGTTTGGTGGTTCGTTGGGACGGCTGCTTGACCCCCTAACTCCCACATATACTTGACGTTTTTTTTATTACGGTAATGCTTTATTTAGAGCATTCGGACGTTCCCTTTCTATCCGGAAGCATCGAACCAGCAGTGCTGCAACCAGAAGCCAATGTTTGGTCTTCTTCCAGGCACCCCCCTCACATCCAGAAGTCGACGCTCAGTCACGCGATTCTTCTCCCGTCGCTCTCTTCCTCGGCAGTCGGCAAGAAGGCAACTCCCTCTGCTAGCGCCCCTGCTCCTCTCCACCGCGACATCCCTCATCTCCTCTCCTTGCTGTGCTCGGAGAGCCCGGTAGTGCTGGCCACGCGCTGCCGCTGCCAGCCATCGCACTGTAGTGGATTGACGGCGCCGAAGCACAGGCCACACCATTGTCTTCGGCTCTGTTCTTTTCAGCTCGTTTTTTCAGCCAGAACAGTGTTTTTCTCTCGCAACAAATCAACCGGAACAATATTTTGGCTTGTTTTTTCAGCGAAGCGAACGGGGCATTCGTCGCCAAGCTCCTCTGCTGCGCCGGCCTCATGGCCTTCCTCATTGCACGCCGTCCCCAAGCCACAGCGCCTAGGTAGGCCTGTCGTGGACGACTCCATCACGTGGGCGCGCCCACCACCACGTCGGGTGCAACAGTTTCGCCGCCGCTATGCCTGAAAAACGCTGCGATTGCAAATGTATGTTTCGGTTGTTTCAGAGGTATGTTGCAAGTGTTTCATATGGATGTTGCAAAAGTAGATCGGGATGTCGTAAATCTGTTCCCAATGTTTCATCTGTTTTTTTCCAGATGTATGTTGCCGGTGTGTTTATCTGGATATTGCATATGATTCGTATATATGTTGCAAGTGTTTCATCTGCATGTTGCGTATGTGTTGCAATGGTGTTCAAGTGTTTTTCACATGATTTTGCAAGTGTTTTAGACGCATGTTTGAAGTGTTTCATCCGTCTTCTTTTGTATGTTGCAAGTATTGCACCTGTATGTTTCAAAAATAGATCGTGTGTTGTACATGTGATTCGCATGGGAAGCGGGAGGGGGCGCGAGCGGTCCTCACGTGAGCGCGCGGCGCGAGCCCCCGTGTGGGCGCGAAAACAGGCACCGGCAGGCGACTCCGAGCGGCGTGGGCCCTCGTGTGGACGCACAAAACAGAGGCGCAACATATTGTAGCCGCGGGCGTCCGTCCGAACATTCGGACGCTAGCAATGCCATTTTGGATTAACAAAGTTTTGAAACTTTAGCAGTTAGTAGTTATCAAAAGTATTAAATTTGGAAACATAAGCGTCAAATATGTACGTATAGCTTTGGCTCATAAAGTGGTTATTATACATAAGCTCTTATAGAAAGCTAGAAGTCATCACCTTAGTATTAGAGCTATATTTTAGCTAAAAACAGCTGCCCACGTTCCAGCTAGGACTATTTATGACCAGACCACTAGAACCTGCAACGCATGCTGACCAGGGTTGAGTCCAGGTCAAAACACGTGACCGTTAACCGTTACATTGGCGTCTCGCGGTGACAGCAGGAGAAGAGGAAACCGCGAAAGGCGAGACCGCGCGAGTGAGACGAGACGACTACGGAAAGGAAAAGCTGCCTAAACCAAACCAAGAACCCACCGTCGTCGTCGCCTACAGGGAAGCTCGTCTCCCGATTCCGCTCTACTCCTCCCACCAAACGAACTTACAAACACCACCGCGCGCCACGCCTCCGTCGGCCGGCGGCGGCGACCGAGCCAGCTTATCAGCGACCAAAGGAGCGGGATGCCGGGGCCAGGGGCGCACCTGCTGTACGCTCTGACGGGCGGTGCGGCGCTGTCTCGGCTTGCCGGCCCGGACCGCCGCTTCGGGCCGCACCACTGCGCCGTCTACGCAGCGAACGCGTTCCTCGGTCCGGACCTCGGCTGCTTCGCCGAGTGGCTGTGCTCTTTCCTCCCTTCGGCCTCCGCCGCGGGGGACCTCGCCATGGCCGTGCACCACCCCTTCTACTACCCGCTCCTCCTCGGCCTCCCGCTCGCCTGGGCCTACGCCTGGCTCTCCCGCCGGCTGCTTCGCGCCGGCGTCCTCGACTCCCCCTCCGGGGTGGGTGCCGGAATTTTCAATTCCTCATGAATCTTTCTTTCGCCGCCTTGGATTTGCAGTTTTTGCTTGGCCCTTTTTTAATCTACTATTCGGTACGGCTGCGTTCAGAGTCTAGCAACACTTGGTGTCAATGCCATTCTAGATTAACAAATGCCGCATTATCTTAATCCTCTGTTGCAGAATAGTGTTTAGTAGCTTCAGAGTCCAGAAGCCTCTGTATCAATCTAGTGTTGCGTGCCTGATTTGTTTAATCTTGGTGTCGTTGCAGGTACCATTAAGAAAGAGGCAGTGTTTCTTGCTGATCTCTGCCGGCTCGCTCTCTCACTTTTTCTTGGATCACTTGTTTGAGGTGAGCATACAGTAGTTTGGAATTTTTGTCAACTGAAAGTCGGCAACGGATGTCTCGTGAATGGGGGAGGCATATCTTAGAATTGATGTCCTAACTTTAACAGTGTGTGCTTAACAGCTTGGAAAAAAGTTGTTCTAGAGATATCCACCTAATCCAACTGGCATGATGTTTCTGCATGTGAAGTAACATTTGTTCAGATCACAAATGAAGCTTTCCCTTTGATACTTTGGAATTGAATGTGTCATTTTCCCCAACTGAATTCATGTTATACTGCTGCAGGAGAATGGACATTCTACAATGTACACTTGGATCCTGAGCACTGGTTGGTGGAAAGGCCGTGCTCCTATCAATCCAGATGCAGTGCTCGTCGTAGGACTTCTTTGCACTTGCCTCATGGGGGGATTTGTGTACATCAACAGGTGACAGCTTTTTTGCATGCACTATCCCTAGTACAAACTAAAAAAATGTTACACAGAAACTAGATTAGGTTACTTGCAAGTAGCTAGCTATATCACGTACTGTTATAAGTAGTGCAGCACATTTTGGCACCTCACTGCTATGCCACTACAAACACAACTTAAATTCTCGGTTCCTTGTATACAGAACAAGTAATTCTAATTGATTCTCTATAGAAGTTATGGTTTTCCTCAGTATATTAAAATAGAAAAGGAAAAACTTTTTATGTACAACTCTAGAATTTAGAACATCTACTTTTGGTGTCTGTGGTTTTCATTACCCTGTTTGGTATGGAGTTGATTGTGCTGTTTGGTCAATTAGGCCTGGGTATGTTCAGTTGTATCATTTTTTCCCCCACATTTGTAATGGATGGAAATAGGCAATCCTTATCACCCCAGAAGTGTAAAGTGTTGGCACCAGATCATTCGAAATTCTGTTTCTTTATTTAGTGTGCCTGTTGTATAACTTGTATGTTTTAGGTTGTTTCTGTTCTATTTTTGTATAATAGTTTCGAGTGTTCTGGCTAGCAGACTGCAAGACAGCAGCCTAGTGTTGTATCAAAGATAGTCTGTTCTCCTGTGCATTCTAGAAAAAGAAATATATACCTATCTTACATATGCTCACTTGAGTTTTCAATGTTTCCATCACTCCATCCGTTACAAAACCTTTTCCCTTCTGGAAAACATTACAAATCCTTATTGCAGTTCTGTAAACATGAGTTCCTTGTTTTGGCAGAGTGAAGCATGGAAGGTCTGCAGCAGAAAAATCAAACCAGTCTTTCTTTCTCATCCTGATGATAGCCACCCTGTATTGTATGTGGTGTGCCAGTCAGATATACTTGCGGCAACCCCCTCAACCTGCTATAGGCGAAGAAGCTGATCTCGGAGTGATAATATTTCTTGCCATTTATCTTTTTCTTCCGCATGGCTTGTGCGTCCTTTCGATGAATCAAAAGGATTATACAGATGCACTGAATGAACTGCCACTTCAATAATTTGTGTTGCTATTGTGCATTTTTCTTCCAATCTGTGCAGAATATCTGTTTACTAACAGTCTGGTTTCTGCATTATGTTGTAATTAGATTTAATTACTACCTGGATGATTGCTAGTGCACCTATGTATAGCCCTGTATTTCTGGAAACATATATTGTTATGGAATAAAGTTATACGGATGACATTGATTTCTGTTGAGAAAGAATTTCATCTTTTTCATTGGTCGCATGGAGGTGGATCATATGATTGGTATTCAAGGCACCCATGACCATATTTTTCATTTGGTACTAGTTGGTATATGCTGTAACGTGATGATGTCTGCCAAGCTAATTATCGCGCGTTGTGCACTTACAGGTGTTTCCTTTTGTAGTAAGTTGAAAGAGAGCATATTCACTTGGATCATCGTAGTGAATTCAAGTGCTGCATTAAACTCGTTATCATTATCTGGATCATTGTCTTTCTAAGAGGTATCATGCTTGACTCTTTTTATTGGTTTTCCTCTGCTCTAGCTATACTTCTCTGTATACTGTGATAGAAAAAGTGCTGAAATATCCAAGCCTGTGTTATAATAGAAGTCTGGATTGTAGTACTGGCCCTGA